GCTGTTGCTGTTGTTGTTGTTGTTGCTGCTGTGGTTGTTGTTGTTGTTGTTTTTGTTTTTGGTTGTTGTTGTTGTTGGTGGTGGTGGTGGTGGTGGTGGTGCTGGTGGTGCTGGTGCTGGTGGTGGTGCTGGTGGTGGTGGTGGTGGTGGTGGTGGTGGTGGTGGTGGTGGTGGTGGTGGTGGTGGTGGTGGTGGTGGTGGTGGTGACGATGATGATGAGGAGGATGATGAGGAGGATGATGAGGAGGATAATGATGAGGAGGATGATGATGATGATGATGAGGATGATGATGATGATGATGATGATGATGATCGTGATCGTGGTGATTGAAGGCGGTAATGGTGATAATGATGGTGATGGTGATCGAATGCTGATGCTGATGCCGATGCCGATGCTGATGCTGATGACGACGATCATCGTGCCGATGATTAGAACAATGATGATGATGACGATGATGATCATGACGACGATGATGATGATGGTGATGATGATGATGATGGTCGGCACAGGTGACGGTGGTGGTGCTGGTGAACATCCGCCAAACGCGATGTAATGCAGGAAGCAGAACAAGACTCAAGCACATGCTGTCGGAGCTAACATGTTTGTTGTGGGTGATTCGCCCCTTAGCTTCAAGTTGTCAGTGAGTGGACATGGTGCCGGGACGAAACAAGCAGCTACGACATGCAGGCGAAGAGTGCTGTCAATTCTGAACATCGACAAAGCCCTTTGTGAGTGAATCGCCGGTGTCCGGGAAAGGGGTCCTTCAGTGAGATGCCTGATACCAAACGGAAGCTTTGCAGTGGCTCTTCGGCGAAATCGCTTGCTATCTGTGCCCAACGCCATGAAACTTGAGCACCGGATCGCATTCCGGCAGCTCGGATTGCAGGTCTGGGAATGCGACGGTTGGACTGGGTTTCTTTTCGCGAACCCCTACAGCGCGACAAGTCTACAATGTCATACGACGACCCCTGCCATGACCACCTACCACCTCCTGTCATTAGCGCCACTAGTACGATTACCTACCGCCGCACCATTGATTCATTCTCTTGTTCCGTCTGCTTCTTCCTACCCATTCTGCCTGTTGTTTTGACAGTGCAGGTCTTCTTGGTCCTGCCATAATGCTGTTCTTATCATTCCTACCTGGCATATCAGTCTTGCTACTCTTGCCTCTGTTCCTGGTGCTGCCATGGTTGGTATTTGCCCGCCAAAGTGATGCATACTTGTAGCTCTTCTCCATTACAGCGATGTGCGTTGTCACAGTGATTACTACAAACCGCCTCTGTGGCCCTGAACACGGTTGCTCGGCGGTTCCGAAGACCTGTCGTTATATGTCACAGTTGAACAACGAGACGGGCGAAGAACCACTGCACAAGCCCCAGCCACGCAGCACAGCGCTAGATCTGCGGTGGCCCCCTGCAATTGGCTTGGCCAAGCAGGGCCCGCGGACCTTTCGGTCACGGGCTGCTTGCCGCAGCCCTTTAAGGTTCAGAGTCAGCACCTTGCCCGGAAATTTGGCCGGCTCCACAGCAAGTTCCAAGCTGAGGGGAATGTTGTGTACCCACAACTCTGCCAGACAGAAGTTTGCGGTTTGCCAATGGGGTTCTTAGTGCAATACACCTATTCTAGTCAAGGGGTGTAGCTGCGCTTCGCGTCTTGGCCTCCGGTAGCGCTGTTCCTGAAGGGGCCGTGGCTTTTTGTTCATAACCCTTCCTGGCACGGCCTTCTGGAGCAGCCAGAAACAAACGGGTTCGCGCCATCTCGACCGGAAAACTTCATCAAGCCAGGTTACTCAAAGCCTCAGAACCCTACATCCCTGGATGTGAGGTACGCAGACGCTCCATCGTCCCTAGGTGAAGGCTTCCTGGCTTCCATGTTGAGCTCAGCTGTGAGCTCCACTCTCAGATCCGAGCTCAGCTCTCAAGAGCTTATGGAGTTTGGGGCCTCCATGGCAGGTCACCGCCGACGCCTCTCACAGTCTGCAAAGGAGGTGTTGCGACCACAATCTCCCGTGCGCCGTTGTGAAACGGATCTACGCTATCGAACTCATCCTTTCACATGCTTATTTGCCACTTTCCATCTTTTTAGGCTAAAAACATCTTGAATCAGACGATGCAAAGGAAAAGCTCGAAAAAAGAAATAGCTGTTGGGTGTAGAAGCCCTCCGATCGGCATGCACCCGTGCGGGAGGTTCAGGCCCAAATATTGAGCTTGTGTGGAGCTTGTGACCGCAGGGAAAGAGGGTTGCAAGTCATTGCCGAAGGGTCCCCACAGGCCTACCTTCCCCCTCATGGGGTGGCGAAACATCGGTTGGAAGAAGTAGGGCAAATGCTGTGTCTACTCCATGTTCCTATGCTTCTCACATTTTCCTTCTGGCTTGAGCATAGATATGGTGCTTCTCTGAAACCTCAAGAATGCTGATTTGGCATCACCTCGAGGTGGAGCAAGTGATGACTTCAGGCCGGAGGGCACGATAGAAGCAATGGGACCCGTGAACAACCAGACCTCTCCATTTCTAACTCTGTCATTACAAGGTGAAGAAGCACGAGGACTAGCCGCCGGACAAAGCCCGAAACAGTGGCACTCTTTTGCTGACAATCCGCCCAACTTCGCAGCTCATGGATACAGTATGCAACACGAACCGATTGTACCAAAACGAGACCATCTCTTGACAACACAAGTGTATCAAAACTCTGACATGCGAAAAGATCGTTCCCTCCGCACTGAGCCGTGGAAAAAGTCGACTGTTGTCGACGTGCAATGCGTGTTCGGTAGCTCGAGATTTGGTCCTGCGCAGCACTTCTGTCGTTCAGCCCCACCCTACCCCATAGACCGCATCATGTATTGCTGCCATGTCCATTATCACCACATCCATGCACCATGCACGCCCTACATGCACTGCTGCTGATGCTACTTGTACCAGCTCTCCTTCTGCTACTGCGCTACTGCTACTGCTACTGCTACTGCTACTGCTACTGCTACTGCTACTGCTACTGCTACTACTACTACTACTACTACTACTACTACTACTACTACTACTACTACTGCTACTTTCCGCCAATGCCCAAGGATCTTCGCGGCATGGCCGAGCACGTATCCCGGAACCCGGTGGGGGGGGGAGATATTGTTGAACAGTCGATGACCGCTTGGCACCGCTCTTCGTCAGGCGCGCTCCCGCGCCGCCCGATCTTGTGGCACAGGAGCGAACCCTCGGCGATGCAAATTTCAGCCTTGCCACCTCCCAAAGAAAACCCGAACAAGATGCTGTTGTCCAGAAAAGCCTCTAAGGAAATGAAATGAGCGAGTAGATGCAAGCACGCTTTTGGATGGCGAACTTTCATATCCTTCTCATAGTACGATTAATAATCCGTGGGAGGCTCTTCGATCATCCGCTCGATGTCGGCAGCTTCCACGATCCGAGACCCACGGGTAACGTCCACACCTTGGCTTCCCCCCCAAACCCACTGGTGGCGCTCCCTGAGACCCAGCCGACCCACCCACCACTACTACCACTGCCGCCACGCCGCCACCACCACCACCACCTCCTCCACTTCTGCTGCTGCCGCTACGACCTGCGTACTCCAGCCCTGTCCTTTCACCGGCTCGCCGTCAACGCGGGATCAAATCCAGCCTGTAGACTCCTGCAGTATGTGCGGGAGCAGGTATGGATGAACGAACAAGACTGGCCTCCGTGCTGGGAGGCGAGCACAAGTCCCTCCGATAGCAGACAAAAGCAGCCCCGGTTCTTCAGAGCCCAGTGAATCTGACACGTCTCAAGAATCCCCACAAGCATCTCCCCACCCAAACAAAACTAATTTGAAGGCCTGCGTTATCCTGTATCCAAAATGGCAGACAGAACCAAATCGCAGACTTCAATCGTTGCTGATCGGTCGAGACTCCTCCTTCCGCTTCTTGGCCTCTTCCCTCCGCAACAAGGCAGGATAGGAAGGATGGAGGGGCACTTCGGCCTTTTGCCGCTGGGGAATCCCAATCAAAGAACAAGGACACCGAGCCCCCAAGAACCGCAGAAAGTTCTCCGTGCATTCTCCGTGCTGTCTGGATGCTCG